GATCTTCTTGGCTCTTCCCCTCGCTGCAAAATTCTTGCTTTCGCTGACTATTTTTTATCTGCTCTTTTTTTCAGGGTTTTCGAAGGACGATTGCAAGGTATCACTCTGAATCACGGGCTCTATATCTCCACTCAGTATTGAAGTCTGCCTTACTTATTTGTTATTTCAAGGTTGCGAGAACAGTAGAATATGGGGATTGTTTTCAGGAGTTTAATGTTGATGTTGCAAACAGGTTTTGACACATCGTTCAGGATCACCTGCAATGCTTTCACTCATATACTCAGAAATTTTGAAAATGATTCGCCTATGGGGTTTTTTGGATTTCGATGTGGAGATATTCTTTCCTCATGATCTTCATAGTCTTCCCCGAGGTTATCATAAACAGAAAAGCAAGGAATCTGATAATGTGCACATAATGACTTCGCAAGCCCTTTTAGTGGAGGTGACTTATGTTTTCATGTTGAAATTTGTTTGGTTTGCCTTAATTTGTTTTGTCCTATCTCAGCGAGTTGTGTACGCTAAAACTCCTAGTTCTCTCACCCTGTGTTGGATAAATTAGTTAGAATTCAACCACAAAACATTCGATATAGATATTTTAAATGAGCAATGTGATCATATTGCCTGTGGTATTTTGTTAATTGATTAGTTCCTTTGTCATTTATCTTTGGTTATGGCAATGCAATCTATGTTATTCAAATTGGTTCCATGTGCTCTAGATTACCCACAGGTCCTCCTACTTTGAAAGTAACTTGTATAATTAGTCAGAATACTACCAACCTGCCTTAAGTTGGTACCATGTATTTAGTCTGAATATTATGGATATGGACCTGAGTTGGTATCATATCTACAGGTCCTCTGAATCATGATATACAATTCACCAATGAGTACAATAGTTTCTGTTCACCAACCTTCATCCAACGACTGTTAATTTTTTTTTAAAGAAGAGAAACGTTCTCTCTGCTAGGATGTAGATTTCAACCATTAGATTTCGATTGAGCAGTTGTAAGCATAGATTTTGGTGAGTAGAACTATAGATTATCGATTATGTGTGTGCATCTTTGCGTACATTTGATTGCTTGGTTAAACTTGTTTGCGACTTGTGCATTTTTGAACGACAATGAATATTTGTTTTACAAAGTATTATATATATTTATATTACAAAGTATTATATATATAGGTCTCGTGAGGCGAAGGCGGGGTTATCCATGGAACGTTTCACCCACGCCTTTGCCTTTTAAGGCATTGAATTGTATGTAGATACATATTTGGGTAACATTTGATAAGGTCTATAGACATGTGTCCAAGCCTTTAATCTTAGCTATATCAGTTCTCATAGTTTACTGTATGTACAGATTTTAAGAAATTTGAAGGATGCATTCTGGCCGTTTCAGCATGATCAACCAGGGAATTTGTTCTTGAGGGCAGCACGTGCTGCTAACTTTATCGATAGATCAAACATAAACGAAGACAGGTACTTTGTCCAAAATGAATGTAGTTTCAACTGAAGACTAATATAAGTTAAGTGCATATATGTGAGGATCCTTTCTATTTTTGCAGTGGCTTTCAGCTTGCATCTGCGAAGGCTGCTCAACATAGACTAGATCGTGGTGTTTGGACTAGTGTACATTTTGGGGATATGAGGTGTGCCCTATCTGGTACGCATTTATTGAATCGTATTTAATCCCAGTGTCAAGAAGGTAATGTCAAAGTCAATAGATTATGCTTCTTGAAGCTGTTGAAGCGGTAACATAGATTGAGATGTCACCACGAATGTCTTGGGACAATTGTAGTTGCATTTTCTGGAGGACAGGGTCCAACTCCTTACCAATAAGTCATTTCAAGTAAAATAATGTGTTATCCATAGCCATCTTTAAATAAAGTTGTAGAAGCATCTCTAACCTGTTTGAGGTCCCGTGGTGATTTTTAGTTAATAGTAGGATTTGATTTTTCAAGTTAAATTCTTGTACTGCAATTTGAAATTTGAAATTTTATCGTCACCGTTGGACATATTGTGCCCGCTGCCACATATTGTTATCTGAACATTGTGTCTATTGTTACAGCTTGTGAACGTCTTATTCTCCTGGAAGCTGATCCGAAGGAATTAAGAGATTACAGCATTCTTCTCTACCATTGTGGATTTTACGAGGAATCACTTGAATATCTAAAGTTATATCAGGACAAAAAGGTACGTTTTCTAACTTCCATATGTATGACGACATACAACCTTGATGGCAAATCTTTTTAAGTACCTTCATTTGGATTTTTCAGGGTCGTCCACTACGGAGGCGACCTTCTGATTCGTTAACCGTTTTGGAGGAAGATGCCGCAGAGAAATTGATGATACGCCTTAACCTAATTCTGATGGAGGATGGTTGGAGCAGGCCGTCATATATTAGAAACTTTCTTGGTAACAACTCTGAACCATGGTAGTCTTCGTATATATTATTGCAGATAGCAGTACAAACCCAAATCAATAGGAGGTTCATGTAAACCGGCAAAGCGGCATCCTGGAAAAGTTTTGCCAGATATGCGGTGTTTTCTATCCGTATATAACAAGATGAACAAAACCGGAGATATAAGTCCTGCCACATTCTGCATTTTCCTATATGGTGCCAGTTTTTTATGTAGTAATTGTGTTGACCGATCATCAGTAAATTTGAACGCCGGAATATTGGAAGAATGAACCGGCAAAATGTACGACAGCGGAGGTAGTAGGGGGTCTATTATCTGCTTGTGATACTCTTATGTAAATTCATGTATATAACAAATTGTTGCTTCATTTGTGATTTGAGTAATAACAAAATTATGTGGAATCATATATCTACATAGTGTGTAAATCTAAATAAGGAGAGAAACTTAGGTCCGTTTCGTAACCATTTGGATTTCAGTTTTTAGTTTAGTAGTATCGTGCGCCCACTCTAGTACGATAGGAACTCTCTTGTAAGTTACAAAGAGTGGCAGAACAGACAAGTATTAGTGGAACTATAAAGAGTGACACTGGACAGACAAATATTAGTGGAACGCATAGTGTACTGTCTGAACACATGACAATCGTCCATTGCACCGATGTTGCTTTAGCAAAGTAGAAAGAAAGCACTCATCCACTGAATACGTGACAATAGTCCATTGCACCTATATGTTGCTTTAGCAAAGTAGAAAGAAAGCAACCAGCACTCATCCCACCGACACATTTTTCGCCTAGACTTTTTCGGATCTGGATCCTCTCCTGAGCTAATGGAGAGGATCCTCCTCATCAATCATCGTGGGTCGTTGAATTTTTATCCAACGGCTACAAACAGGAAGGTCTCTTTAAAGTTATAATGATTGTAATCGTTGAATAAAAATCTAACGGCCCACGATGATTGATGAGGAGGATCCTTTCCATTAGCTCAGGAGATAATCCAAATTCGACTTTTTCCACCCACAAAACAAGGCACAACCACCAATTCGCTCTTTATGCTTTAACGTGTGTACTCCACTGAATTATTGGCCAGCTCATTTTTTGTTTTTTTGTTTTTTGTTTTTTTTTTTTAAATCTTGTGACATTAGCAATATGTTATATATATTACTAGTTTATTTGTTTGTGATATTAATATTAACTTTTAATTATTACTATCAACGTTGAAAGGCTGTGAAATTTTGAAGAATTGATTGAGAAATCATGTCACATCCCGGCCCGGGTGGGACCACTTCCCGGGCCCGCTCCACCACCGTAGCACGATATTGTCCGCTTTGGGCCCCGACCACGCCCTCACGGTTTTGTTTCTGGGAACTAACACGAGAACTTCCCGATGGGTCACCCATCCTGGGAGTGCTCTCGTGCGCTACTCGCTTAACTTCGGAGTTCCCATGGAACCCGAAGCCAGTGAGCTCCCAAAAGGCCTCGTGCTAGGTAGGATGGGAATATACATTTAAGGATCACCCCTGGGCGATGTGGGATGTCACAAATCAGATGAAAGATCAATTAGTGAATGATATCATAATTATTTTTTTTATATATAAAGATTTGATGGTATTTGGTAAGCTGTCATGCAATGTCCGATGGGTCACCCATCCTGGGAGTGCTCTCGTGCGCTACTCGCTTAACTTCGGAGTTCCCATGGAACCCGAAGCCAGTGAGCTCCCAAAAGGCCTCGTGCTAGGTAGGATGGGAATATACATTTAAGGATCACCCCTGGGCGATGTGGGATGTCACAATCCACCCCCCTTAGGGGCCCGACGTCCTCGTCGGCACACACGCGGCCAGGGTTAGGCTCTGATACCAAATTGTCACATCCCGGCCCGGGCGGAACGACTTCCCGGGCCCGCTTCCACCACCGTAGCACGATATTGTCCACTTTGGGCTTACCATTCCCTCACGGTTTTGTTTTTGGGAACTCACGAGCAACTTCCCAGAGGGTCACCCATCCTGGGAGTGCTCTAGCCCTCTTCTTGCTTAACTTCGGAGTTCCTACGGAACCCGAAGCCAGTGAGCTCCCAAAAGGCCTCGCGCTAGGTAGGATGGGAATATACATTTAAGGATCACCCCTGGGCGATGTGGGATGTCACAAATCAGATGAAAGATCAATTAGTGAATGATATCATAATTATTTTTTTATATATAAAGATTTGATGGTATTTGGTAAGCTGTCATGCAATGTTTTCAAAATATAAAACATGTCGAACGATATATTATATGAAAAATCAATAAATTAATATAAGTATTTTATTTAATAAATTTTTGAACTTTTTAATTTGTAACCTTATTATTTGATAATGCTTCCATTCACGCAGATATCTGGTTTTATCCGGAGATGTACAATATACTGTGTGAACACATGACAATTCGTCCGTAGCACCGACGTTACCATTGTGTACTTTTCCACTCACTTACCCCATCCCACCGACGAATTTTTAGCCTACACTTTTCCACTCGCAAACAAAGCACGACCACAAATTCTCTCTTTATGCTTTAACGTGTGTGGTCCGCTGAATTATTGATCAATACAGTATCTGGTCGTCCTACTCACAAATGTGAATTTCATGAGAGTTTAAGCTTCTGTTTCCATTACAAAACGCTTCTCTCATATTACTAGTTTCCAGAAAGAAAGAAAGGAAAAAAAATGGCTTTGATTGCAGAGGCTTTTCTCTCTGCTTCCATCCAGACGCTGTGCGACAAGATTGGTTCTGGCGAGTTGATGGACTTCTTCCGGGGAAAAAAACTTGACTATTCACTCCTGAAGAAACTGAAGCGGACGTTTCTGGCCCTTGATGCAGTGCTTGGTGATGCAGAGGAGAAGCAGATGGAGAATCGCCGTGTGGAAAAGTGGCTTGACGAGCTCAAACATGCTGTCTTCGAAGCCGAGGACCTGCTGGATGAGATCGATACTGAAGTTTTGCGAAGCAAGGTGGAAGCTGAATATCAAACGAAGAAAACCCAGGTGTGGAACTTCCGCTCTACTCTTAATCCTTTTTATGAGGGCTTGGATGGTAGGATTCAAGAGTTACTTGAAGAACTAGAAAACCTTGCACAACAGACATGTGTGCTCGGTCTCAGAGAAGGTGTCAGGGGCAAGCTTTCACAAAGAACTGCCACAACTCCCTTCGTTGAGCATGAATTCTGTACTTATGGTAGGGATGAAGATGAAGCGAAGTTGAAAACACTGCTGCTATCTGATGATGGAAGGGGCGGCAATACATCTGTAATCCCCATATGGGGAATGGGAGGAGTTGGTAAGACAACCCTTGCTCAACTCCTTTACAATAATGACGGGGTGAAAGAGCATTTCGATGTTCGAGCTTGGGCGTGTGTCTCCGAAGACTTTGATGCTGTTGGGGTCACTAAAACCCTTGTTCAGTCAATTGCTTCAAAACCCTGCGATACGTCAGATATGAGCTTGCTTCAAGTTGCTCTTAGGGAACAACTAACGGGGAAAAGGTTTCTACTTGTGTTGGATGACCTTTGGAATGACGATTATAATGATTGGAGTGTTCTACAAGCTCCTTTCACTTATGGGGCGAGGGGAAGTAAGGTCATTGTGACAACAAGGAACGAAAGTGTTGCATCCATCGTGCACACTGTTCCTATTCACTCTTTAAAACAATTGTCGCCTGATGATTGTTGGTTGTTACTTGCAAAACATGCTTTTAGAAATGAAAACGCAAGTGCACATCCAGACTTGGAAGAAATTGGTAAAAAAATTGCACGTAAGTGCAATGGTCTGCCTTTAGCTGCGAAAACACTTGGAGGTCTCTTAAGTTGCAACATGGACTACAAGAAATGGAATCATATATTGAATAGCAATCTTTGGGAGCTACCACAAGCAAATAGTATTCTTCCATCTCTAAGATTGAGTTTCCATTACCTCCCTCCTTATTTAAAACAATGTTTCGCTTATTGCTCAATTTTTCCAAAGGACTATGAATTTGAGAAGCATACTTTGGTTCGACTTTGGATGGCTGTGGGTTTAATTTCACAAGCTGACGGCGGGGCAAGAATGGAGGAGGTTGGAGAGAACTATTTGAATGAATTAGTATCACGATCACTAATTCAAAGATCAAGAACTGAGGAGCCTGGATTCACAATGCATGATCTCGTTAATGACTTGGCTGTGTTCGTGTCTAGAGAATTTTGTTTTCGGATGGATGAGGAAGGATCATATGAAGTTCCTAAAAGAGTTCGACATTTGTCGTATGCGAAAGGAGGATTTGATGCTGCTAAAAAATTTCAGCCATTAAATGGAGTTAAATATTTGCGCACCTTCTTACCCATGTCTTTAAGGAAGTCAAATTGGGGTTATGTAAGTAGTAAGGTTCCGAATGATTTGTTGCCAACACTAAAATGTTCACGGGCACTGTCTTTGGCAGGATATGAAAACGTCAGTCACTTACCTGATTGCATCGGGGGCCACATACATTTGCGCTACATTGACCTCTCTTACACTGCAATTAAAAGGTTACCAGATACCGTGAGTGGTCTCTACAATTTGCAAACTCTATTGTTGGTAGGTTGTTACTCTCTTGTTGAATTGCCTGTAGACATGAGGAAACTGATTAATTTGCGCCATCTTGATATTAGATATACTGGTATAAAAGAAATGCCGGTGCAAATGGGTAGACTAAAAAGTTTGAGAACACTCACTGGTTATGTTTTGGGGACATCTACTAGGTCTGGTGGCATTGGAGAATTGGGGGAGTTGCCCAATCTTGGAGGGGAACTTTCTATCATGAATCTAGAGAATGTAGTCCATGTTGTGGATGCCTTGCGGGCCAATTTGAAGGATAAGAAAGATCTCAATGAAATAGAGTTGGCATGGGGTAGAGAGGATGCAGATGATTCCATAAAAGAGAGACAAGTACTTGAAAAATTACAACCTTCTGTAAATTTGGTGAAACTGACCATCACATGTTATGGTGGAACAAGCTTTCCGAATTGGTTGGGAGACTCTTCCTTCTCCAACATAAAAGTCATGCGCCTCCAAGGTTTTAGTACTTGTTGGGCGTTGCCACCAGTTGGGCAGTTGCCTGCTCTTAAGGAGCTCTATATATACAACATGAAATGTATTATGAGTATTGGTGCTGAGTTTTATGGTGTCAATGGACTTTCTCTAATTCAGCCATTTCGTTGCTTAGAGAAACTGCAATTTAGTGGGATGCCAGAATGGGTAGAATGGCTGCCAAGTCCGGGTAGAGGTCAATGTCCAGACTTTCCTCGTCTCGAGGAGCTGGTTTTACAGCGTTGTCCGAAGCTGAGGGGAAACTTGCCGGATTATCTTCCTCGCTTGAAAAAACTTGAAGTGTTCGACTGCGGGGTTCTGCATGAAGGGGCTACTAGGAGTAGGTGGATACCCTGGTCTCTCATTGTTAACGCGGAATCCTTGCGACAATCTCTTCAGGATCTGAAAATAAATGGATGCCCTGGTCTCTCGTCGTTACTAGAGACGGAGACGCTGTCCTCGCTTTCCATGCTTGATATTCAAATTTTTAGTCGCACAGATTGCTTGCAGCCGCACTTGAGCAGTCGTCTTCAAAAATTGACTCTCCGTAATTGCGGGTCCCTCCTGTCGTTCCCTAGAAATGGTCTACCCACTTCGTTGAAATCACTTAATATAGTTTATTGCAGGAGATTAGAATTCCTATCTCATGAGATGATGGCCAAATTGACATCCCTTCGACGTTTCGAATTATGTTGGAGCTGTGATTCACTGAGGTCCTTCCCGCTGGGCGTTTTCCCCAAACTTTCATCTCTTTGTCTCGCCGGCAGTAAAAATCTAGAATCCCTTTCCATTGGAGAAGGAGCTGATGTTGAAAATGTCACTCATCTCGATTCTCTCTGTATCTATCATTGTCCAAATCTGGTCTCTTTTGCCCACGGGGGGTTGCCCACTCCCAACCTGTCTTATTTTGTAGTCGAGAGATGCGAGAATTTGAAGTTATTGCCCGATCGAATACACACACTCACCGCCCTTCGATACTTGAGGATATCTGGTCTTCCAAATGTAGAGTCATTTGCAGAAGGAGGTTTGCCTCCCAACCTACAATCATTTCGAATCGCTGATTGTGGGAAACTGAGGCCTTCAGTGGAGTACTGGGGTTTGCAACGACTTGTCTCCCTTCGAACATTTCAGATCGAGGGAAGCGAGGATGTGTTGGAGACGGTGCTCAAGGAACAGCCGCTCCCTACCACTCTTCTCACTCTCGAAATCTATGGAATGAAAAGTCTGAAATCTTTGGAGGGAAAGGGACTTCAACACCTCACTTCTCTTCAAGACCTCTTAATTTCCCGCTGTGATAGTCTCGAATTCCTGCCAAAAGAGGGTTTGCCGGCATCGCTATCTTATCTGAGCATCGGCACATGTCCTTCTCTGATGAAGAGGTGTCAGGAGAAGACGGGAGAAGAGTGGAGCAAGATAGCTCGCATTCCTTGCATCCAGTTAGACGGCCAAGTCATCATTTGAGATCTAAAGTCAAATTCAGGTTCGTACATAGCACCATTTTTCATACAATAACATATAAGATTGAGATTCTGTAAAAGTTTCACTTCAATACGGCCTTACTCGTTTCTGAAGGACCAATATGAACTCTATATCTCCACTTGGTATGGAAGTCTGCCTTACTCGTTTGTTATTTCAAGGTTGTTCTTTGAGAACCCTACAATACGGCCATTGTTTTCAGGAGTTCAGTGTAGATGTTGCAAACAGGTTTAGTGGAGGTGAGGTGACTTATGTTATTATATCGACAGACCTGTCTTTTTGCCTTTATTTGCATTGTCCTATGTCAGTGAGTTGTGTATGCTACAAGTCCTAGTTCTCTCACCCGGTGTTTGGATGAGGGATTTGAAAGTACCAAGGAATTTAGGATACATTAGTTAGAAATCAACTGCAAAACATCAGACATAGATATTTGAAATGCACTACATGATCATTACACACATAAACAAAGCATTTATAAATGTCTCCTTTCAAGCAGTCATTTACAATCCCTCTCGATGCATTGCATCGTGTCTGTCATATTCTTCCGCATAATCTTTTGTAGTGAATTTTAACTAATTAAGCCTTAAGCCCGCGCTTGGCACTTTCAAATCCCTCATCCACATGTTCCATTTAAGAGAATCATGTTGCCTGTGGTATATTGTTATTTGATTACTCTTGTAATTTAGGTATTCATTTGACATTTAATTGAAGAGTGAACAACCTTTTCGTTCCCCATTGTTTCTAATTTATCTTTAGTCAGAATATTATGAACCTGCCTATAAGTTGGTACGATATATGTTGTCAGATATTATGGATATGGACCTGAGTTGGTACCATATCTACAGGTCCTCCTAATCGTGATTTACAATTCACCAATGAGTAGAAAAGCTTTTGTTCACCAGCCTTCATCCAACAGCTAATAAGTTTTCAAAAATGAAACGTTCTATGCGCTAGGATGTAAATGTCAACCAGTAGATTTCAATTGAGCAGTTGTAAGTATGGGTTTTGTGCTCAAAGTGAGTCAAAGTATAGATTAAATATATCTTTGTGTACATTTGTTTGTGAGTGGCATTGTCTTTATGTAATTTATTTACATGCATATTTGATCTTCGGACATGTGTACAAGGCATTAATCTTAGCTGTATCTGGTCTCATAGTTTACTATTTGTGCAGATATAAAAAAAATTGAAGGGCGCATTCTGGCCCATTTCAGCATGATCAACCAGGGAATTTTTTCTTGAGGGCAGCACGTGCTGCTAAATTTATTGATAGATCAAGTGTAAATGAAGACAGGTACTTTGTCCGAAGTGAATGTAGTTTCTACTTAAAACTAATCCAACTGAAGTGCATATATATAAGGATACTTGGTATTTTTCCACTGGCGTTCAGCTTGCGTCTGCTAAGGCTACTTTGTCACAGCTTGTGAACATCTTATTCTCCTAGAAGCTGATCCGAAGGAATTAAGAGATTACATCATTCTTCTCTACCGTTGTGGGCTTTATTAGCAATCACTTGAATATCTAAAGTTGTAGCATGACAAAAAGGTAAGTTTTCTAATTTCTATATGTAAGATGACATCTGACTTTGATATCAAATCTAATAAAGTACCTTTATTTGGATTCTTCAGGATCATCCACTACGGAGGCGACTGTCTGATTCATTAGCTGTTTTGGTGGATGATGCCACAGAGAAATTGATGATACGCCTTAACCTATTTTTGATGGAGGATGGTTGGAGCAGGCCGTCGTATGTTGAAAATTTTCTTGGTAACAACTCCGAACCTCAGTTGTGTGATCATGTACATTATTGCTTATTGCAGAACAAACCTACTTAGTAGGAATTTCATGCAAACTGGGAAAAACAGGACTTTAAGTGAACTTCATCCTGGAAATGTTTTGCCAGATATAATGTGTTTTCTTCCTGTATATAACAAGATTAATAAAACCAGAGATATAAGTCCTGCCACATTCTGCATTGTCATATTTAATGCCATACTTTTATATACTAGTTGATTCGACCACATCATCAATGGGTTGGAAGGCTGGAATATTGGATGGTTGGAAGAGTCAACCGGCACATGGACAAAAGCGGTGCTAGTAAGGTGCCTATTATCTGCTTTTGATACTTTAACTTTCAAGTGCTGCAGGGGTACTGGTAACATGTTTACTCCTATGTAAATCATGATTTATTTTGTCAAATTTTACTTAATTGTAAAATCATGTGGATCTCCTCTGTTCATAACTAAGTTCTTTAGATGAATATTCTGAACTGTTTTTGGATGAAATCATAGGATATGTGAGGAAATAATTAACGAGGGTTTTGTCAATATCTATTGTGTATTTACAGAAATCCATGATAAGACTAACGCATGTATTAATGAGGTTTTGTCAATATGTCAGTATGTCACTTTGATTTTCAGCACCTCACTTCTCTCCAATAGCTTGAAATTAGAAGCTGTGATAATCTCAAATTCCTGCCAAAAGAGGGTTTGCCAGCGTCGCTCTCTTGTCTGAGCATCCAGAATTGTTCTTTTCTGGAGAACAGGTGTCGGGAGAAGACAGGAGAGTAGTGGAGCAAGATAGCTCACATTCCTTGCATCGAGATAGGCGACCAAGTCATCATTTGAGATCTCAACTCGAAGTCAGGTATGTACATAGCACCATTTTCCATAGAATAACATACAAGATTCAGATTATGTAAATTAATCAATCAGTTTTAACTTTTCAACTGTTTAACTCAACTATACTACCATTAAAAAACATACTTGTTTAAATTTCAGGACACTATCATCCATGAGCAACAGGTGTTGCTTGCATAAATTACTGTGTACAGTGTACAATACCAAGTAAGTTATTGGGTGCTCTGGCTAGCTGAGTCACGAATATGATTCTCCTGCACCGGATGAGCTAACTCCTTGATGATGGTTTTTTTTTTTTTTTTCTCCTGCTGCGGCTTGAATACGGTGGAATGCTTACTCATCTTTCAATGCATCTCTCATCTTTACATAGGTGCCAGTATGTTTTTGTACAAAACACAATGTGTGAATTTGGCTAGCTGCTGCACTCTTACAGATTTCACCGTAAGTTGTTGAATACTGGATTGTAACTTACGCTCCTTTTCTTTTCTTGCTTCAGGATCATTATTGTGGATTATATTCATGAATCATAACATAAGGAAAAGTTTCAGATTGTCAAACTTGCACAAGTAATTAAGATCACTTTATAAATCATAATTTCTTCATCTTTGATTCAGGACTATCTTTTCTAGATGAGGTATCAAAAGGATTGAGCTCGAGTTGAATCAATATTCAATAGCGATGAGAAGAAAGGATTAAACACGATTTTTCCCAATTTGATGTGGAATTAACGGGAGTTGGAGAAAACCAGTGAAGGTAAAACTCTGTGGATTCTTCTGTTTGTTTCTAATTCTTATGACGGACTTTGATATTCTGCATTTGGAACTTAGAATCAAGGTTCTAACTTGTTACCACTTTGATTGGCTGGACAAATATGAATAAATTAAGAAAAGAGAAATAAGTCACAAGATTCCTCTTCTAATTTTATTTTTGGGTTTCCGAAGGACCAATGCGAGGCATCACTCTGAACCATGAGCTCTATATCTCCGCTCGGTATGAAAGTCTGCCTTACTTCTTTGTTATTTCAAGGTTGTTCTGAGAGAACACTACAATACGTGCATTGTTTTCAGGAGTTTAATGTAGACATTGCTAACAGGTTTTGACACATTGTTCAGGATCACCTGCAATTCTTTTGCTCATATAGTTGGAAATTTTGAAAATGCTTCTCTTATGCTTTTTGGATTTCGATGCGGAGATGTTCTTCATAGTCTTCCCAGAGGTTATCATAAACAGTAAAGCAAGGAATCTGATAATGTACACATAATGATTTCGCAAGCCATTTTAGTGGAGGTGATTTACGTTATCATGTCGACATCTTTTTTTTTTTCTTCCCAAATTTGTACTACCCTATGTTAATGAGTTGTGTATGCTAAAACTCCTAGTTCTCTCACCTTGTGTTTGGATGAGGGAGGAATTTAGGATAAGCTAGTTAGAAATCAACTACAAAACATTAGATATAGATATTTGAAATGCACTAGGTGATCATTACAACATAAACAAACTATTTATAAATGTCTCCTTTCGTGCAGTCATTTACAAATCCCTCTCGATACATTGCATCTAGTCTTTCATATGCCTCTATGTAATCTTTTGTAGTGAGTTTTAACTAATTTGGCCTTAAGCCCTTGGCACTTTCAAATCCATCATCCAGATGTTCCATTTAAGAGAATCATGTTGCCTGTGATATATTGTTAATTGCTTATTCTTGTAGTTTAGGTATTCCTTTGCCATTTAATTGATGGATCTATGTTACATTCAAGATTATTTACAGGTCCTCGCATTTTGAAAGTAACTTATTCTGGCCATTTTAGCATGATCAACCGGGGAATTTGTTCTTGAGGGCAGCACATGCTGCTAACTTTATTGATAGATAAAACATAAATAAGGACAGGTACTTCGTAGTGCACATATATAAGGGTACTTTGTATTTTCTCAGTGGTTTTCAGTTTGCATCTGTTAAGGCTACTTTGTCACAGCTTGTGGACATCTTATTCTCCTAGAAGTTTATCCGAAGGCATTAAGAGATTATAGCATTCTTGTCTACAATTGTGGATTTTATGAGCAATCACTTGAATATCTAAGGTTGTAGCCCGACACAAAGGTACGTTTTCTAATTTCTATATGTATGATGACATGCTACTTTGATAAAAAAATCTATCTATTAAAGTACCTTTATTTGGATTCTTCAGGATTGTCCACTACAGAGGCGACTGTCTGATTCATTTAACTGTTTTTGTGGAAGATGCCGCAGAGAAATTGATGATACGCCTTATCCTAATTTTGATGGTGGATGGTTGGAGCAGGCTGTCATATGTTAGAAATTTTCTTGGTAACAGCTCTGAACCATAGTTGTGTGACCATTTACATTATTGCATATAGCAGTGCGAACCCTAAACAATAGGCGTTTCATACAAACTGGGAAAAACGGGACTTTAAGTGAACTTCATCCAGGGAATGTTTTGTCAGCTATGGAGTGTTTTCTACCTGTATATATATAACAAGATGAACAAAACCAGAGATATAAGTCCTGCCACTTTCTGCAGTTTCATAATTAATGCCAGGCTTTTATTTACTAGTTGAGTCGACCAGACCATCAATAGATTGGAAGGCCGGAATATTGAATTGTTGGAAGAATCAACTGGCAAAATGGACGACAGCGGAGCTAGTAAGGCGTCTTGTGATACTTTTAACATTCAGGTGCTGCAGCGGTAACATGTTTACTCTTGTGTAAATTGATGAATTATTTTGTCAGATTTTGCTTCATTATAAATTCGTATGGATCTCCTTTGTTTATAATTAAGTTCTTCAAATGAATATTATGGACTGTTTTCGGATGAAATCATAAGATTTGTGGTTTTTTTGGGATGCGAAATCAATCAGATTGTTTGTACTCAGGTTGTCGTATTCACATGGATATGATCCTAGCTAAATTATCCCCTAGTTAGTGAGGGAATAATTAACAAGGGTTTTGTCAATATGTCACATGTATTTCAGAAACCCATCACACTTATTGTATATTGCATTCAAATATTTTATCAGTCAGGACAACATGATGGGACTAACGTATGCCACTTCATTGCTGCAGAGAGAAAACAGCGGAATGATGTTTAACATCTTCCCTTGATGTCACTGGCATCTTGGAGTGGGTTGAAGAGAGCAGTGGTGACGATGACCACTCACAAAAATGAGAGCACGGTTTCCTTGCAGTGGTAACATGTTTACTCTTTATGCAATTGATGTATATATTTTGAGCAACAAATTGTTACTGTATTTGTGGTTGAATTACCCTAGATTATTATTATCTGATATTGCAGGGTCGTCCATCACAGATGCAAGGCGACCATCTGATTCATTAACTGTTCTAGAGGAAGATGCCGTGGAGAAATTGATGATACGGCGTAGCTTACTTTTGGGCGAGGAGGGTTGGAGCAGGCCATCATATGATAGAAATTTTCTTGGTAACAACTCTGAACCATGGTAGTCCTAATCAGTAGGAGGTTCATTAATTATACCGGGAAAAGTGGCACTTTAATTGAATTTCACTCCCGAAAAGAAAATTTTGACTTATGTCATAGCCAGGAAATATGTGAGGCTGTTAAAATACAGCCTTATGGCCATGCATTCTGGAAACTGGTTGTTCATGCATTAATCATTTGCTTAGCTTGCAGGCATGAATGGGCGAGGAGCCAGAGAACTTGCAGGTCCCCCAGACTCCTGAAAGCAATGAATAAAACGCCCTAGACCCTGCGAAAGCATTGAAGAAAACATGGAGCTCATGTCCTGAAACTAATTAGAGTTTTTAGCCATCAGAAGACAAAGTAGGCTTACATCCAATTTCCTACTTCGGATTTCTGTGCGTGGCACTGCCCTCGGAGGACGAAGCCATCTTCAGAAGTTAGCCAACTTCTGAATAGTTGGATCATAAGTCTGGGGAAGTGATTCTTGCACACCCTTAATCTTCGCGCACGCTCCCTGCTTGTTTTTGACTTTTGGATCGAAACAGTCAAAAGATAATCAATCAAGGAACATAATCATAAGTCTGTTCATACGTTTTGATGTCTATTCATAAATGTTGATGTCTGCTACATCAAATGTTGCTAACTGCACTACGGTATTGTGCAAGCGTTATCGATGGGCTGCCCAAGTGTTAAATTATTGGGTCCAGGTCCGTGCTCAATTTGATTGGGTACTAAAGAAAACTTAAAAAAACAATGTGTGTAAGCTGTGATTTTTTATAGTGTGACTATGCACGGTTTTTCTATCTCATTCGTCACGGCGGAAACTTAGATTTATATACATAAGAATTTGGCACATTGAGAGCTTGTTTAGAAAGTGTTTTTAAATGATTTCTTTAAAATCGCTTTAGACATTTAAAAGCACTACATAAATGAGCCTTGAATTTTCTTTAATTTTTTGAGTTGAGACAATAATTTACTGAAAATCATTCAAGATTACAATCCAAAACTTGGGGGAGGACGTCATGAATTAAGTCGGGGGTATCCTCCAGCCAACTGGTGCGAGATTTATACGCACACAATTTAAACCCTCTTTTTGTCAATTGTAGTGAAGAATGTAAGTAGGGATCGTTCTTAACCGGGGATTAGGAGGGATTGCAAAATCACTTGGAAACTGACTCAAAAACGTAAAATAAAGTTTGAAACACTAAACTAGACTCAAAGAATGCAAAACTAAACAATAAAAACACTCAAACAAATCAAAAGACTCAAAACAGCCCCAAAACACTCAAAACTGCCTTAAAATCACTTTCTGGGCAGTTTTGAGCACTTTGGTAACTTTGGACGAAATTGAGTAATAGAATGAATCAAAATGCTTAAAAACACAAACTAAGATACTTTCTAACTAAATTAGACACTAAAATAAAGGGGGATTGAGGTTTTGACGAAATTAAAATAAATGCACAGATTTGTTGTTGTAACTTAAAAGCATAAGGAAATGAAGTAAACACAAATAAATGAATCAAAAACTAATAAAATGAGATAGTATCAATGGAGATGAAGCTAGGGATTCCGATTTCACCATTACAAGTCAATTCCATGAAAGTTAAGTCAAAACGTATTCAACTCTCCAATCTGCAACTAGGGTTCGTTTTACTTATTTATGATCATCCATTTGATGTGTGGTTGTGATCAAGTACTCCTAATATGCAACCTAGTTGTGATGTTCAACTTAGATTAGCAAGTAAGAATCCATTAAGAACAAGAAAACTTCAAAGAATCAAAGAAATCACATGGCAGGATGTATGCATAGCAGTTTCTTCATTCATTCACATGTCTACCAAGATTAAGCATGATGTGTACTATAACCTTGATCAAATAATTCATAAGCAGCCCTAATGGTGATCAGACATTAAGATTAACAAACAAATTAAACTATAAAATCAGTGAATGAAACAAGAACACAGATTGGTGAATCAAATACTTTAACTTAATAACATGGAATAGTTTTGCAAGACTACATCGAATCCACCCCTAGCCAAAGGGGGATTTAGTTCTTTATAACATTGAAATCAAAGAAACACCTAAACATTCCAACAACTCAAACGTGAATTGTATGAACGTTTAAGCACTCTTTTCTTCCATTCCTCAAACATACAAAACAAAGAGAATTGAATTTAAACATTGAAATCAAAGAAACACCTAAACATTCCAACAACTCAAACTTGAATTGTATGAACGTTTAGGCCCTCTTTTCTTCCTCTTCGTTGTAGCATAAGGTCTAAGGACATGTTTTGATGGTGTGAATGGTTTGGGGAGTGGTGGAGGAATGGAAGAATGGTGTTTGGATTGTAAGGGAGAGTCACGGCCAAAGGTGTTGTGGTTTGATGTCTACATTCTGAAAATGGAAGAGTTTGTGACTGAAATGTGTATGAAATGAGAGTGAATGAGAATGAATGCAATGGATGCTTATTTATAGGTAAAATGGGGGGGACATGACAGCTAGGAGGAGGAATATATGCATGTGCAAAGCTGGAAATGCAAGCAGAAAATGGAAGGGAATGCATGTGCACGGCAATGATGGTGTTTTCTTGTGGTGAATCTGAAATGGGAGAGCATGTGGATTAAAGGGGTAATGATGATGAATGCATGTGAATTATTTATGAAGGGAATGCATGTGGAATGGCTGAAATGAATGATTATGGATGCATGTGCAATGTTTTAAAGGATGATTTCTGGTGGTGAATGGGTGTATGTGTGAATGATTAAAGGAACATGTGGGTTGGAAATGATGAAAGAAATGCATGTGAGTGATAACTAGATATGTTGATGAATGCATGTGGAATGTTTGTGGTGAGTGAATGTGCACGGCAATGAGTGGAGAAATGTGTGAATGATGGCAGATTTGTGTGGATGATATGTTTAGGGTCTTGTAAGGGTGGAAATGCATGTGGAGTGCATGATTGTTTATGATGATATGGATGGTTCTTTGCATGGCTTTTGAAGTGATTGTGGGCTTTGGAATTGGAAGGAAATGCATGGCCTTGGGGTTGGTTTAAGAGAGAATGGGCTAGGCCCTTTGTTTTATGTCCAAAATGAATACAAGGCCTTCAAATTCGTCCAACACTTTGGCTCCAATCATATGCTATCCATTCCAAGCCCAATTTTGCTCCAAAATGCTCCAAAATGCATCTTTTTGCTTCCTTAGCCATATGAACCTAAAAACACACGAAAATGGCTTAAACTACTAAAACAACTATGAATTAACAACATAGATGCATGAAAACAAGCTAAGTAAGTCGTCTAAATATGCTCCTATCACCAACACATAAGAACATATGGATAAAGCTAACTTTGCTAACCGATGAGCCACCGCATTAACAAACGTGATATATGTACGATCCTTATCTCATGTAATTGAGTTTAAAGTATTAGTTGTTCTAAATGCTAAGAAGATTCTTTAAAAAGTGGGACTCTTCATGGATGCTCCACCACCTTATGTTTTTCGTAGAATTCTGGTGCCAACATTATGAAACATATATCAAACACATGAGGTGATGGAAATTATATGAAGAGTCCCACTTTGAGTGAGTATCCTTAATATTTTTCTTGGGATATTTCTACTCATGGTTATTTCCCATGCAATAAATGACCAACTTTTTTAGAGAAAGAAAATAACTAGTTTTCAAAATAGTTGTTAGAATAACCAATATATTAGACTTAAGGCGGTTCAAATTCATATAGTAAACTTATTTTTAATCTACTATTGGTTAATTTATTGTCTTTATCAAAAACTTAATCATTTATTGTACTGGAATTAAACTCATGAATTCAATTAAATTCAATAATTAAAATCACTTTTATAGAACTTAAATTTTCCAACTAACTTTGAACCAAACTCAATTTTCCGTCACACTTCAAAAGGACTAACTATTTAACATTTAAAGACGAAAAATGTAAGGAAATATTTGGGTTTGAATTTGAAGAATACTTTTGCGGATGATGGAAGAAAAATATATAGAGTGCATGAAAAATAAAATGAAAAAAAAAAAAAAAAAAAAAAAAACTCATAAAGCAAAACTCATTGCGCCATAATTACCCCATTTTATTAAGACAACCACTCTTGTAATGCACCACCAAGCTCATTGCGATAAATTTTACCAAAAATGAAAAGATATATTGCTTTTATTATAGCCCATCATTTTCAACCCTGCCGAACGGTCAATCTCTGCCTAAGCTACCCATCACCCAATGCCTAGAGCCCTACAAATGTACACTTGACCTATATTATAGGCTAGGATTGGTCGGTCCACACCCTATCTGCCCAACCTACTCAGCCTCCTCTGCAATCATAAAGTAACAAAAATGGAATAGGATTTTATTTTTTTATTTTTTTATATTTATATTTATATTTATTTTATTTTTTTATTTGAACGGTCGTGATTATACTACGTTAACATTTTATATTAATTTTTTATAGAAAGAGAAAGATAAAATAGAGAACGTGAGAAGAGATGATGGAAGAAGATGGAAAGAGGAAGTGAGAAAATATTTTTATGTGCTTCATATTCTTTTATGGTGTTTTATGGGTATTTTTTTTATGTCAATTTATAATGTAAATATTATTGTTGTATAAAAATAAAAATCCAAACATGTACATTTGATGGCATGCTAGTGGTTAATATGATTTCCTGCAGATTTGTGGAGCTAATTAATAAGTTTTTATGTAAAAGGAATTGCATTTCATCCGTATGCTTTGCATAATGTACTTGTCTTTATTTTTCTCAAAGAAAAAGAAAAAGAAAAAGAAAAGTGATGTGTCCAAGAGTATCATTTTATCATGTAACTGGAAAAAAAAAAAGATGAATATTTGTAGCTAAACTGTTCCTAACTAATAACAATGTGATGTGATAATGATTTGGCCCATCTAGATCACGAGATTCATGAATGTATTGTAGACAAAAAAGTAACACGTCAATAACAAAAAAACAAATTGTTTAACCAAATGGAGTTGCAATGAATGACAGAAAATTTTGTGTCAACTTCTTCTATTTTATCACATTCACATTGGAAGGTAGTAAGTAGGAAGTTGCTTCGTTGGTAGGTTGAATTGGAAAATCAATGGCAATATTACAAACCGCAGAGTGAGGTATGCGCATAAATGCGCACTACGTCAGAGACCAAAACGAGGGACTTAGAGCTGACCTTAAAACTAGGCAGAGTAGCAGAGCATTTTACAGAAGAAATATGGATTAATTAATGTCAATTATTTCTATCATATGTCATTACATAATTGAAGAAACACTTTAAAAAATTGTTTTTAATTGTATAATAATATATAATGTTCTTCTCTGTATTCCGGACATCCTAACATCTTCACAACTTAAAAGTGGTGAGCAAAAACAAATCCAATTAAATTAAAAATCATACACGAACGCAACTTCTAGTATTGACTCAACAAATAAATTAACTATTAATTTTGAGCTCGAGTAGTTAGAAAACACAATGGATTGAGTATATGATTACGAACCGAGTTCTTTGCTTTAGTTTACAGAGACACTTGACATCATAAACTGTTTAATGGTTCTAAAGGAGAGCAAAATGCAAATGCATGCATACACTCACATATGACATAATACATATGGCGAGGCTATGAGTGCTCAACAATCCATCTTATACATAAAGAGCCATTAGTTAGGTCCTTGCCACTGCAAATTCAAAGAAATCAACACGAGTCGAGTGATGATTGTCTCAGCAGCCTTAGATTGCTGAACCTATGCGAGCCAGAAAAAGAAGTCCATACGAAAACATGTAGTTTCTATAGGAGCAGTAGTAAAAAGGATAATGCTAAAGAGATTAAATTTATAGATAAAATTTGTAAACCAAATGATGTGTAACAAATAGAAATGATCATGTTTATCAACGCTTAAGTAATAATTCAATTATCAACTTCCATAATATTTAGTCTTTGAAATTTTGTTTGTAAATTTATCATTCCTAGCATTAGCCAGTAAAAATTTGTAACTCACAGAAGTACCAAATTCTCCACAAAGTAATACACACAAGAGTTTGACATCTTCAAAGATTTCATATTTGGAATCTCCTGGAAGGAATCTATGCAAAACACATACAAGAAGAATAAAACAAAAGTTACCCAACACAGAATTTCCACGCCAACTACTAGGAAACTACCTTTCCCAAAACAAAACAAAACAACCTTTTAAATTATATAAGAAATTATGATGGCTGAAATGCTTCTATAAGTGTTTTTGTTCCCCAAAATGATGGACTGTTGTAGCGAAGTTACTAGCTGATCTTTATATAAAAAATAAATAAAATAAAATAAGTTCCCATTGGCTTTGTATGGGATTATTATTCATGCTATCAAGCATAATAGAGATTTTGCATAATGACCTAAAAGTGAGAAAACCATTTGAATAAGGGAACTTTAACGAAAAGCTCTCGGTATTGTTTACTTTAACCAAAAATCACATTTTTACACTAAAAAGTCAATCATTGTACTATTCAGTTTACCCTTTATTTTGTCAGTTTTGTTAAAACTCAAAGTTTTCAAGTCATTTTCATTAGTTTTCCTTTAAAATAAAGCCAATCGTCATTATAGCTTAACTAAATAATCATTCTTCCATTTCAAAACCTTAAATGATTTATGTGAGTTTGAATTTTACATATAAGAATTAGGCACATTGAAAGCTCGCTTGAGAAGTGTTTTTAAGTAATTGAAAATACTTTTAGATAAAATATTTTTTAATTTCAAAAGTACTTTAAGTTTTTTTTTTCCATGATAAACTTACATTTTAACCAAAATTGATTTCAAAAATATCTTCTTTTTTTTAAAGCGTTTCCCGTGATTAAAAACACTTTTTCTAAACGAGCTCTAAATTTAATATATTTTTTAATTAAGACGATAATTTACTGAAAATCAATCAAGATTACAATCCAAATCTTGGAGAAGGACATCATCAATTGTAGGGGGATCCTCCATCCAAACTACATAAGAACAAATAGATAAAGCAAACTTCACCAACCGATGAACCACTACACTACACAAATATGAAATACGTGAGATCTTCACCTCGTGTAATTGAATTTGATGTATTGCTTATTCTATTGCAATATTTCTACTCGTGGTTTATTTATTATTATTAATATTTTAAAAATCTTATTATGCCTCCTCATCAGTATATTTTTTATTTTAATTATAGAAAGTTTAGAATCCAAAATAAAATTTTAAAGTACCAATAACAATAATGCAATAAATGACCAACCTTTTTTTATAGATAAATTAACTAGTTTTCAAAAAAAGTCGTTAGAATAGCCAATATATTAGACCCAAGGTGGTTCAAATTCATATAGCAAACTTATATCTACTCTATTATTTCTTAATCTATTCTCATTTATTGTACTGGAATTAAACTCATGAAATCAACCAGCACCTATATGTTGCTTTAGCAAAGTAGAAAGAAAGCCACCAGCACTCATCCCACCGACACATTTTTCGCCTAGACTTTTTCCACCCACAAAGCAAGGCACAACCACCAATTCTCTCTTTATGCTTTAACGTGTGTACTCCACTGAATTATTGGCCAGCTCATTTTTTGTTTTTTTAAATCTTGTGATATTAGCAGTATGTTATATGTATTACTAGTTTATTTGTTTGTGATATTAATATTGACTTTTAATTATTACTATCAACGTTGAAAGGTTGTGAAATTTTGCAGAATTGATTGAGAATTCAGATGAGAGATCAATTAGTGAATAATATCATAATTATTTTTTTATATATAAAGATTTGATGGTATTTGGTAAGCTGTCAAGCAATGTTTTCAAAATATAAAACATGTCGAACGATATTGTAATATATTATATAAAAAATCAATAAACTAATATAAGTATTTTATTTAATAAATTTTTTAACTTTTTAATTTGTAACCTTATTATTTGATTATGCTTCCATTCATGCAGATATCTAGTCTTATCCGGAGATGTACAATATACTGTGTGAACACATGATAATTCGCCCGTAGCACCGACGTTACCATTGTTACTTTTCCACTCACTTACCCCATCCCACCGACGCATTTTTAGCCTACACTTTTCCACTCGCAAACAAAGCACGACCACAAATTCTCTCTTTATGCTTTAACGTGTGTGGTCCGCTGAATTATTGATCAATACAGTATCTGGTCGTCCTACCCACAAATGTGAATTTCATGAGAGTTTAAGCTTCTGTTTCCATTACAAAACGCTTCTCTCAGACTACTAGTTTCCTGAAAGAAAGAAAACAAAATGGCTTTGATTGGAGAGGCTTTTCTCTCTGCTTCAATTCAGACGCTGTGCGACAAGATTGGTTCTGGCGAGTTGATGGACTTCTTCCGGGGAAAAAAACTTGACTACGCACTCCTGAAGAAACTGAAGCGGACGTTTCTGGCCCTTGATGCAGTGCTTGACGATGCAGAGGAGAAGCAGATGGAGAATCCCCGTGTGGAAAAGTGGCTTGACGAGCTCAAACATGCTGTCTTCGAAGCCGAGGACCTGCTGGATGAGATCGATACTGAAGTTTTGCGAAGCAAGGTGGAAGCTGAATATCAAACGAAGAAAACCCAGGTGTGGAACTTCCTCTCTACTCTTAATCCTTTTTATCAGGGCATGAATGGTAGGATTCAAGAGTTACTTGAAGAACTAGAAAACCTTGCACAACAGAAACGTGTGCTCGGTCTCAGAGAAGGTGTCAGGGGCAAGCTTTCACAAAGAACTCCCACAACTTCCTTCGTTGAGCATGAATTCTGTACTTATGGTAGGGATGAAGATGAAGCGAAGTTGAAAACACTGCTGCTATCTGATGATGCAAGGGGCGGCAATACATCTGTCATCCCCATATGGGGAATGGGAGGAGTTGGTAAGACAACCCTTGCTCAACTCCTTTACAATAATGACAGGGTGAAAGAGCATTTCGATGTTCGAGCTTGGGCGTGTGTCTCCGAAGACTTTGATGCTGTTAGGGTCACTAAAACCCTTCTTCAGTCAATGGCTTCAAAACCCTGCGATACGTCAGATATGAGCTTGCTTCAAGTTGCTCTTAGGGAACAACTAACGGGGAAAAGGTTTCTACTTGTGTTGGATGACCTTTGGAATGACGATTATAATGATTGGAGTGTTCTTCAAGCTCCTTTCACTTATGGGGCGAGGGGAAGTAAGGTCATTGTGACAACAAGGAACGAAAGTGTTGCATCCATCGTGCACACTGTTCCTATTCACTCTTTAAAACAATTGTCGCATGATGATTGTTGGTTGTTACTTGCAAAACATGCGTTTAGAAATGAAAACGCAAGTGCACATCCAGACTTGGAAGAAATTGGTAAAAAAATTGCACGTAAGTGCAATGGTCTGCCTTTAGCTGCGAAAACACTTGGAGGTCTCTTAAGTTGCAACATGGACTACAAGAAATGGAATCATATATTGAATAGCAATCTTTGGGAGCTACCACAAGCAAATAGTATTCTTCCATCTCTAAGATTGAGTTTCCATTACCTCCCGCCTTATTTAAAGCAATGTTTCGCTTATTGCTCAATTTTTCCAAAGGACTATGAATTTGAGAAGCATACTTTGGTTCGACTTTGGATGGCTGTGGGTTTAATTTCACAAGCTGACGGCGGGGCAAGAATGGAGGAGGTTGGAGAGAACTATTTTAATGAATTAGTATCACGATCACTAATTCAAAGATCAAGAACTGAGGAGCCTGGATTCACAATGCATGATCTCGTTAATGATTTGGCTATGTTCGTGTCTAGAGAATTTTGTTTTCGGATGGATGAGGAAGGATCATATGAAGTTCCTAAAAGAGTTCGACATTTGTCATATGTGAAAGGAAGATTTGATGCTGCTAAAATGTTTCAGCCATTAAATGGAGTTAAATATTTGCGCACCTTCTTACCCATGTCTATAAGGAAGTTAAATTGGGGTTATGTAAGTAGTAAGGTTCCGAATGATTTGTTGCCAACACTAAAATGTTCACGGGCACTGTCTTTGGCAGGATATACAAACGTCAGTCGCTTACCTGATTGCATCGGGGACCACATACATTTGCGCTACATTGACCTCTCTTACACTGCTATTAAAAGGTTACCAGATACCGTGAGTGGTCTCTACAATTTGCAAACTCTATTGTTGTCTCATTGTTCCTCTCTTGTTGAATTGCCTGTAGACATGAGGAAACTGATTAATTTGCGCCATCTTGATATTAGAGATACTGGTATAAAAGAAATGCCGGTGCAAATGGGTAGACTAAAAAGTTTGAGAACACTCACTGCTTATGTATTGGGGACATCTACTAGGTCTGGTGGCATTGGAGAATTGGGGGAGTTGCCCAATCTTGGAGGGGAACTTTCTATCATGAATCTAGAGAATGTAGTCCATGTTGTGGATGCCTTGCGGGCCAATTTGAAGGATAAGAAAGATCTCAATGAAATAGAGTTGGCATGGGGTAGAGTGGATGCAGATGATTCCATAAAAGAGAGACAAGTACTTGAAAAATTACAACCTTCTGTAAATTTGGTGAAACTGACCATCAGATGTTATGGTGGAACAAGCTTTCCGAATTGGTTGGGAGACTCTTCCTTCTCCAACATAAAAGTCATGCGCCTCCAAGGTTTTAGTACTTGTTGGGCGTTGCCATCAGTTGGGCAGTTGCCCGCTCTTAAGGAGCTCTGTATAGAGGAGATGAAATTTGTTACGAGTATTGGTGCTGAGTTTTATGGTGTCAATGGAATTAAAGGGACACCTCATCAGTAGATATTTTTATGGTTTAAACAGCTGTAATTTTGGTTGTAACTAATCTCTGTTATTAGATGCTAATCTAGTGGTCATTAGTCACTAAGGTTATTTAGCAAAGTGTATATATACTCAGATGTAATTTCTTCTTCATTAAGAAAACAGAAATACAGAAAGTATTCTTTCTATCTTGGTATCATTCGCCTCTCTGCTTCATCGCTCTTCGATCCTCCTTTCTTTGCGGTTCGTTCTTCTTGATCTCGAGCTTCCTCTTCTCAACAATGGCGACGGCCTCCTCGTCGCCTTCTCCTCCTGAAATTGTTCCTCCAAATCCTGCATCGTCTGAATTCGTCGCCCCCAATTTCTCTGCGATGAACCCTAATTTTTCTCATTCGTCGATTGCATCAATCACCATCCAGAATATTACTTGTATGGTGCCTACGAAGCTGAAGCGTGATAATTACTTAGTCTGGAAGGCTCTATTTGCTCCAATCTTCAGGCGCTACAAGCTCACCGGTATTGTTGACGGTTCTGAGCTCCCTCCACCGCCTTATCTTCTTGATCAGCATGGTTGTCTTACTGGAAACCCTAATCCTGCCTATGAAGCTTGGTATGAGAAGGATCAAAACATTCTGATTTGGCTTAACTCTACTCTCTCTGAAGAAATCATTCCGTTTACTGTCGGTGTCACTTCGTCTCACGATCTTTGGATTAATCTTGAAAATCGATTTGGGGGTGTCTCTGCTGCTCATATTCACCAACTTCGCTCTCGTCTCCATGCCATACACAAAGGTGATTCTTCGATTTCTGAGTATCTGCAGCGCATCAAAGGTATTTCTGATGCCCTAATGGCGGCTGGTTCCCTAGTCTCTGATCAGGATCTTATTGCTGTCACTTTCAATGGTTTATCTGATGACTATGAATCGTTTATTGACTCTATTATGTTGCGCATCTCTTCTACTACTTTGGATGAACTGCATGGTTTATTAATCAACAAGGAATTATTCATGAATCGCAAAAAGAAAGGTGTTGTCTCTTCCGCTCAAGAACCTTTTCAGGCCTTTGTAGCTCAGTCTCAGGGTCCTCTTCTGCCTACACCACCATACTCTCCTTTTCCTCAAGCCTATGCTGCACAGTTCACTGCTCCTCCCAGGTTTCAGAACAATCGTGGCAATGGCAAAGGGTTTTCTCAGCGCCAAAATCGTGGTAACTACTCCAGGCACTTTTCTCAGTTTCGTGGTAACGTTTCTAATTCAGGAAATGGCTCTGGTTCTTTTCGCCATACTTCTGGTGGCAATCGCTCTAACTCTGGTGGTTTCAATCGCAATACTCACACCAACTCTGGTTCTTATTTTGGGGGTAAAACTTCTTGTCAAATCTGTCACTCTCTTGACCATGAAGCTATTGACTGTTATGAACGCATGAATCATGCGTATGCTGGCAAAATACCCCCTGCCAAATTGGCTGCCATGTGTGTTCACACGAATTCTAAAACTTCTCCTTCGTGGCTCATTGATTCTGGTGCTACATCTCATATCACTAATGATATTGCTGCTCTTCAATCTCCTGTTCCCTACTCCGGCGAAGATAAGGTTTACATTGGTGATGGACAAGGTATGTCCATTCATCATTCTGGTACTTCTTTGCTTAAAACACCATCCGCTACATTTCGATTGAACAATGTCCTTCATGTTCCCAAGATGAAATTCAATCTTCTCTCTGCCTATCAGTTTTTAAAAGATAATTGTTGTGCATTGACCCTTGATTCTGATGGTTCTACAATCAAGGATCGCTCTACGGGGATGATGCTTTTTCAAGGACCGGTCCATGAAGGCTTCTATCCTCTTCAAGGCATTCCCTCCACTTCTGCCCCTTCAGCGTTTCTTAGCACTAAAGCTTCTCTTCCGACCTGGCATAGGCGGCTTGGCCATCCCTCTGCAGCAATGTTTAGGAAGATTTTAAATAAAGCTCATCTTGCTCATAGTGGTAGCAATTCTGTTAGCTTCTTTTGTACTGATTGTGCCATTGGTAAAAATCACAAATTGCCCTTTTCTTCCAGTACTAGTCGTGCTTCTGCAAGTCTTGAACTGATTCACTGTGATGTTTGGGGTCCAGCTCCAGTTGTCTCTGTCAGTGGTTTCAAGTATTATGTTCTTTTTGTTGATGAGTTCACTAAATACACATGGCTGTTCCCTTTGAAGGCAAAATCTGAAGTGTTTTCTGTATTTGTCCGTTTCAAGGCTTATGTTGAAAACTTGGTTGGCAATCGAATAAAAATTTTCAGATCTGATTCTGGAGGTGAATTTACTGGTTCTGCCTTTAATTCTTTCCTTGCTACTCATGGTATTTGTCATCAATATAGCTGTCCTCACACTCCCGAGCAAAATGGGTGTGTTGAGCGTAAGCATCGACATCTCACAGAAACTGCTCGCACTCTCCTAGTTGCTTCTAGTGTACCTCATAAATACTGGGTAGAAGCTTTCAGCACAGCCTTGTATCTTATTAATCGGTTACCCTTATCAAATCTGGTCATCTCTCCTTGGGAACTACTTTTTAAAAGGGCTCCAGATTATTCAAAGCTGAAAATTTTTGGGTGTAGCTGTTATCCCTGGCTTAAACCATATGTTTCTTCCAAACTTGATGGCAAGAGTACACAGTGTGTCTTTCTCGGCTATAGTTTGCAACACAAGGGTTACAGGTGCTTGGACATTCAATCTCATCGAGTATACATATCAAGACATGTTTTGTTTTATGAGGATCATTTTCCTTTCAAAAGCACATCTCAGTCACAGGGTCCTAACTCATTGGGATCTGCCTCCCATTCTTCTTCCTCATTTACTCTTCCCTTTCCTTATTGGGATAAGCCTCACTCCTCAATCTTGGATAGCACTGCTCCCTTATCTAATGCAGCTCCATCTTCCCTACTATCCTCTCCTACTATCTCTCCTTCCTCACCTGTACCTGCTGCATCTCCAGTCCCTGCTGCATCTCCAGTCCCTGTTGCCTCTTCTGTCCCTGTTTCATCCTCCATACCTGTTGCTTCTTCTCCCCCTATTATTCCTACACACACACATCCTATGATCACCCGGTCCAAAGCTGGGATCTTTAAACCCAAGGTTTTAGCTGCTACCAAGCACCCTATTGACACCAGCACCTTTGTCCCGACTACTTATGCTCAGGCTTCCAAATATGAGCATTGGCGACAAGCAATGTTTGCAGAGTATCAAGCCTTGCAAAGTACTGGTACCTGGACGTTAGTTCCTCCATCTCCCACTCAGAATGTTGTCGGGTGTAAATGGGTGTTCCGGATTAAGAGAAAACCAGATGGTACCATTGACCGGTACAAAGCTCGTCTTGTAGCTAAAGGGTTTCATCAACAAGAGGGGGTTGACTTTCAGGAGACATTTAGTCCGGTTGCAAAGCCTGTTACAATTCGAATTTTACTCACACTTGCTGTTCAACACAACTGGTTTCTAAATCAATTAGATATCAGTAATGCTTTTCTGCATGGCAATCTGAAGGAAGCAGTCTTTATGCAGCAACCACCTGGATTTATTGATCAATCACAGTCATCCTTTGTTTGCAAACTTACCAAGTCTCTCTATGGTTTAAAACAGGCTCCCAGAGCCTGGTATGACAGACTTTTTCATGCTTTCAGCTCTCTTGGTTTTGCAAATTCACAATCTGATTCCTCTCTCTTTGTTCAAACACAACCCTCTCTAGTTATAGTCCTTGTGTATGTCGATGATATTCTTGTGACTGGTCCAAATGCTTCTCATTGTCAGGCCTTCATTCAAAAATTGAGCAGTTTATTTCCTGTCAAGGATTTGGGTCCCCTTCATTTCTTCCTCGGCTTAGAAGTTCACAGAACCTCCACTGGCCTATTCTTGTCTCAAGGCAAGTATGCTCTTGATTTACTTGTTAAAACAAATATGGATGGCTGCAAACCCTGTTCTACTCCTCTTGGATCTGTTAAATTGGATCACACTGGTCCTTTACTACCCAATCCCAAGGAGTACAGATCCATTGTAGGTGCCCTTCAGTATCTTACTTGGACAAGACCCGATATCTCTTTTGCTGTCAACCAAATGTGTCAATTTCTCCATTGTCCGCGCGAACCTCACCTTCAAGCAGTCAAACGAATCTTGCGTTTTCTCAAAGGTTCTATTACTCAAGGTCTGTGGTTCAAGCCAGGTCCATTGCATCTTACAGCCTTTTCGGATGCTGATTGGGCTGGCTGCCCTTTTGACAGACGCTCAACCAGTGGTTATTGTGTGTATCTTGGTCCCAATCTGATTAGTTGGAGTGCCAAGAAGCAACACACTGTTGCTAGATCGTCAACAGAGGCTGAATATAGGTCCCTTGCTCACACAGCTGCCGAATTAACCTGGATCTGTAAACTGTTACAGGATGTCCTTTTTCCTCTTAGGCAGGTTCCCAAACTCTGGTGTGATAATGTTTCTGCCATTTCTCTGGCTTCTAATCCAGTTTTCCATGCTCGCACAAAACATGTGGAACTTGACTATCATTACATTCGTGAACTTGTTTTAGCAAATCTGATTCAGGTCCTTCATATCAGTACCCATCATCAGATTGCTGACATTCATACCAAGGCCCTGCCTAAGGCCAGATTTAAGCTACTGCAGTCCAAGCTTTCTCTCGGTGCTCCTCCGCTTAGCTTGAGGGAGGGTAAAGGGACACCTCATCAGTAGATATTTTTATGGTTTAAACAGCTGTAATTTTGGTTGTAACTAATCTCTGTTATTAGATGCTAATCTAGTGGTCATTAGTCACTAAGGTTATTTAGCAAAGTGTATATATACTCAGATGTAATTTCTTCTTCATTAAGAAAACAGAAATACAGAAAGTATTCTTTCTATCTGGAATTTCTCTAATTCAGCCATTTCGTTGCTTAGAGAAGCTGCAATTTAGAGGGATGCCAGAATGGGTAGAATGGCTGCCAAGTCCGGGTAGAGGTCAATGTCCAGACTTTCCTCGTCTCGAGAAGCTGGTTTTACAGAGTTGTCCGAAGCTGAGGGGAAACTTGCCGGATTATCTTCCTCGCTTGAAAAAACTTCAAGTGTCCGACTGCGGGGTTCTGCATGAAGGGGCTACTAGGAGTAGGTGGATACCCTGGTCTCTCATTGTTAACGCGGAATCCTTGCGACAATCTCTTCAGGATCTGAAAATAAATGGATGCCCTGGTCTCTCGTCGTTACTAGAGACGGAGACGCTGTCCTCGCTTTCCATGCTTGATATTCAAATTTTTAGTCGCACAGATTGCTTGCAGCCGCACTTGAGCAGTCGTCTTCAAAAATTGACTCTCCATTATTGCGGGTCCCTCCTGTCGTTCCCTAGAAATGGTCTACCCACTTCGTTGACATATCTTTGTATAACAAGTTGCAGGAGATTAGAATTCCTATCTCATGAGATGATGGCCCAATTGACATCCCTTCGACGTTTCGAATTATTTTGGAGCTGTGATTCACTGAGGTCCTTCCCGCTGGGCGTTTTCCCCAAACTTTCATCTCTTCAGATCTGGGGCATTAAAAATCTAGAATCCCTTTCCATTGGAGAAGGAGCTGATGTTGAAAATCTCACTCATCTCGATTCTCTCTCTATCCATCATTGTCCAAATCTGGTCTCTTTTGCCCACGGGGGGTTGCCCACTCCCAACCTGTCTAGTTTTACAGTCTATGGATGCGAGAATTTGAAGTTGTTGCCCGATCGAATACACACACTCACCGCCCTTAGAGATTTGCAGATATCTGGTCTTCCAAATGTAGAGTCATTTGCAGAAGGAGGTTTGCCTCCCAACCTACAATCATTTCGTATCGGCAGTTGTGAGAAACTGAGGCCTTCGGTGGAGTACTGGGGTTTGCAACGACTTGTCTCCCTTCGAACATTTGAGATCTCGGGAAGCGAGAATGTGTTGGAGACGGTGCTCAAGGAACAGCTGCTCCCTACCACTCTTCACACTCTCGAAATCTATGGAATGAAAAGTCTGAAATCTTTGGAGGGAAAGGGACTTCAACACCTCCCTTCTCTTCAAAAGCTCGAAATTTACAAATGTGATAGTCTCGAATCCCTGCCAAAAGAGGGTTTGCCGGCATCGCTATCTTATCTGAGCATCGACATATGTCCTTCTCTGATGAAGAGGTGTCAGGAGAAGACGGGAGAAGAGTGGAGCAAGATAGCTCACATTCCTTGCATCCGGTTAGGCGGCCAAGTCATCATTTGAGATCTAAAGTCAAATTCAGGTTCGTACATAGCACCATTTTTCATACAATAACATATAAGATTGAGATTCTGTAAAAGTTTCACTTCAATTGTTCAATTAATCAAGGTTCTGTAATAGTTTCACTTCAGATTCTGTAAAACTCTCTTAATACTTGTCTTTGTTTCTAATTCTTATGAAGGACTTAGAATCAAGGTTCTAACTGGTTACCAGTTACCACTCTGATTGGCTGGACAAATATGAATAATTAAGTCACAAGATTCCTTTTTTAACTTTATTTCAGGGTTTCTGAAGGACCAATATGAACTCTATATCTCCACTTGGTATGGAAGTCTGCCTTACTCGTTTGCATTGTCCTATGTCAGTGAGTTGTGTATGCTAGAAGTCCTAGTTCTCTCACCCGGTGTTTGGATGAGGTATTTGAAAGTACCAAGGAATTTAGGATACATTAGTTAGAAATCAACTGCAAAACATTAGACATAGATATTTGAATTGCACTACATGATCATTACACACATAAACAAAGCATTTATAAATGTCTCCTTTCAAGCAGTCATTTACAAATCCCTCTCGATGCATTGCATCTTGTCTGTCATATCCTTCCGCATAATCTTTTGTAGTGAATTTTAACTAATTAAGCCTTCATTCAACAGCTAATAAGTTTTCAAAAATGAAACGTTCTATGCCCTAGGATGTAAATGTCAACCAGTAGATTTCAATTGAGCAGTTGTAAGCATGGGTTTTGTGCTCAAAGTGAGTCAAAGTATAGATTAAATATATCTTTGTGTACATTTGTTTGTGAGTGACATTGTCTTTATGTAATTTATTTACATGCATATTTGATCTTCGGACATGTGTACAAGGCATTAATCTTAGCTGTATCTGGTCTCATAGTTTACTATTTGTACAGATCTAAAAAAAATTGAAGGGCGCATTCTGGCCCATTTCAGCATGATCAACCAGGGAATTTTTTCTTGAGGGCAGCACGTGCTGCTAAATTTATTGATAGATCAAGTGTAAATGAAGACAGGTACTTTGTCCGAAGTGAATGTAGTTTCTACTTAAAACTAATCCAACTGAAGTGCATATATATAAGGATACTTGGTATTTTTCCACTGGCGTTCAGCTTGCATCTGCTAAGGCTACTTTGTCACAGCTTGTGAACATCTTATTCGCCTAGAAGCTGATCCGAAGGAATTAAGAGATTACATCATTCTTCTCTACCATTGTGGGCTTTATTAGCAATCACTTGAATATCTAAAGTTGTAGCAGGACAAAAAGGTAAGTTTTCTTATTTCTATATGTAAGATGACATCTGACTTTGATATCAAATCTAATAAAGTACCTTTATTTGGATTCTTCAGGATCGTCCACTACGGAGGCGACTGTCTGATTCATTAGCTGTTTTGGTGGAAGATGCCACAGAGAAATTGATGATACGCCTTAACCTAATTTTGATGGAGGATGGTTGGAGGAGGCCATCGTATGTTGGAAATTTTCTTGGTGATGGTTATTTTTTTTTTTTTTCCCCTCCTGCTGCGGCTTGAATACAGTGGAATGCTTACTCATCTTTCAGTGCATCTGTCATCTTTACATAGGTGCCGGTATGTTTTTGTACAAACACAATGTGTGAATTTGGCTAGCTGCTGCACTCTTACAGATTTCACCGTAAGTTGTTGAATGCTGGATTGTAACTTACGCTCCTTTTCTTTTCTTGCTTCAGGATCATTATTGTGGATTATATTCATGAATCATAACATAAGGAAAAGTTTCAGATTGTCAAACTTGCACAAGTAATTAAGATCACTTTATAAATCATAATTTCTTCATCTTTGATTCAGGACTATCTTTTCTAGATGAGGTATCAAAAGGATTGAGCTCAAGTTGAATCAACATTCAATAACGATGAGAAGAAAGGATTAAACACGATTTTTCCCAATTTGATGTGGAATTAACGGGAGTTGGAGAAAACCAGTGAAGGTAAAACTCTGGATTCTTCTCTTTGTTTCTAATTCTTATGAAGGACTTTGATATTCTGCATTTGGAACTTAGAATCAAGGTTCTAACTTGTTACCACTTTGATTGGCTGGACAAATATGAATAAATTAAGAAAAGAGAAATAAGTCACAAGATTCCTTTTCTAATTTTATTTCTGGGTTTCCGAAGGACCAATGCAAGGCATCACTCTGAATCATGAGCTCTATATCTCCTCTCGGTATGAAAGTCTGCCTTACTTGTTTGTTATTTCAAGGTTGTTCTGAGAGAACACTACAATACGGGCATTGTTTTCAGGAGTTAATGTAGACGTTGCAAACAAGTTTTGACACATTGTCCAGGATCACCTGCAATTCTTTTGCTCATATACTTGGAAATTTTGAAAATGCTTCTCTTATGGGCCTTTTTGGATTTTGATGCAGAGATATTCTTCATAGTCTTCCCAGAGGTTATCATAAACAGTAAAGCAAGGAATCTGATAATGTACACATAATGATTTTGCAAGCCATTTTAGTGGAGGTGATTTACGTTATCAGGTCGACATCTTTTTTTTTCTTCCTAAATTTGTATTACCCTATGTTAATGAGGTGTGTATGCTAAAACTCCTAGTTCTCTCACCCTGTGTTTGGATGAGGGAGGAATTTAGGATAAGCTAGTTAGAAATCAACTACAAAACATTAGATATAGATATTTGAAATGCACTAGGTGATCATTACAACATAAACAAACTATTGATAAATGCCTCCTTTCGTGCAGTCATTTATCCCTCTCGATACATTGCATCTAGTCTTTCATATGCCTCTATCTAATCTTTTGTAATGAGTTTTAACTAATTTGGCCTTAAGCCCTTGGCACTTTCAAATCCATCATCCAGATGTTCCATTTAAGAGAATCATGTTGCCTGTGGTATATTGTTAATTGCTTATTCTTGTAGTTTAGGTATTCCTTTGCCATTTAATTGATGGATCTATGTTACATTCAATATTATTTACAGGTCCTCGCATTTTGAAAGTAACTTATTCTGGCCATTTCAGCATGATCAACCAGGGCATTTGTTCTTGAGGGCAGCACATGCTGCTAACTTTATTGATAGATAAAACATAAATAAGGACAGGTACTTCGTCCAAAATGAATGTAGCTTCTACATAAACTAATCTAAGATAAGTGCACATATATAAGGATACTTTGTATTTTCTCAGTGGTTTTCAGTTTGCATCTGTTAAGGCTACTTTGTCACAGCTTGTGGACATCTTATTCTCCTCGAAGCTTATCCGAAGGAATTAAGAGATTATAGCATTCTTGTCTACCATTGTGGATTTTATGAGCAATCACTTGAATATCTAAGGTTGTAGCTGGACAAAAAGGTACATTTTCTAATTTCTATATGTATGATGACGTGCTACTTTGATAAAAAAAAAAAAAAAAAAAAAAAAATCTATTAAAGTACCTTTATTTGGATTCTTCAGGATCATCCACTACAGAGGCGACTGTCTGATTCATTTAACTGTTTTGGTGGAATATGCCGCAGAGAAATTGATGATACGCCTTATCCTAATTTTGATGGTTGATGGTTGGAGCAAGCTGTCGTATGTTAGAAATTTTCTTGGTAACAACTCTGAACCATAGTTGTGTGACCATTTACATTATTGCATATAGCAGTGTGAACCCTAATCAGTAGGAGTTTCATACAAACTGGGAAAAACGGGACTTTAAGTGAACTTCATCCAGGGAATGTTTTGTCAGCTATCGAGTGTTTTCTACCTGTATATATATAACAAGATGAACAAAACCAGAGATATAAGTCCTGCCACATTCTGCAGTTTCATAATTAATGCCAGGCTTTTATTTACTAGTTGAGTCGACCAGACCATCAATAGATTGGAAGGCCGGAATATTGAATAGTTGGAATAATCAACTGGCAAAATGGACAACAGCGGAGCTAGTAAGGCATCTTGTGATACTTTTAACATTCAGGTGCTGCAGTGGTAACATGTTTACTCTTGTGTAAATTGATGAATTATTTTTTCAAATTTTGCTTCATTATAAATTCATATGGATCTCCTTTGTTTATAATTAAGTTCTTTAAATGAATATTATGAACTGTTTTTGGATGAAATCATAGGATTTGTGGTTTTTTTGGGATGCAAAATCAATCAGATCGTTTGTACTCAGGTTGTGGTATTCACATGGATATGATCCTAGCTAAATTATCCCCTAGTTAGTGAGGGAATAATTAACGAGGGTTTTGTCAATATGTCACATGTATTTCCGAAACCCATCACGCTTATTGTATATTGCATTCAAATATTTTATCAGTCAGGACAACATGATGGGACTAACGTATGCCACTTCATTGATGCAGAGAGAAAACAGCGGAACGATGTTTAACATCTTCCCTTGATGTCACCGGCATCTTGGAGTGGGTTGAAGAGAGCAGTGGTGACGATGACCACACACAAAAATGAGAGCACGGTTTCCTTGCAGTGGTAACATGTTTACTCTTTATGTAATTGATGTATATATTTTGAGCGAGTAACAAATTGTTACTGTATTTGTGGTTGAATTACCCTAGATTATTATTATCTGATACTGCAGGGTCGTCAATCACAGAGGCAAGGCAACCATCTGATTCATTAACTGTTCTAGAGGAAGGTGCCGTGGAGAAATTGATGATAGAAATTTTCTTGGTAACAACTCTGAACCATGGTAGTCCTAGTCAGTAGGAGGTTCATTAAATATACTGGGAAAAGTGGCACTTTTAAGTGAATTTCACTCCCGAAAAGAAATTTTTGACTTATGTCGTAGCCAGGAAATATGTGAGGCTGTTAAAATACAGCCTTATGGCCATGCATTCTGGAAACTGGTTGTTCATGCATTAATCATTTGCTTAGCTTGCAGGCAAGAACGGGTGAAGAGCCGGAGGCCCTCCAGAACTTGGTTGCGAACAATGAAGAGAACTTGCAGGTCCCCCAGACTCTTGAAAGCAATGAATAAAACGTGCAGGTTTCCTAGACCCTGCGGAAGCATTGAAGAAAACATGGAGCTCATGTCCTGAAACTAATTAGAGTTTTTAGCCATCAGAAGACAAAGTAGGTTTACATCCAAGTTACCAGTATGCGGCTGCCCCAGTTTCTGCATAAAACTCCTATATGTAAGTCGTTTCGTACTTCGGATTTCTCTCTGCGTGGCACTGCCGATTCGGAGCACGAAGCCATCTTCAGAAGTTGGCCAACTTCTGAATAGTTGGATCATAAGTCTGGGAAAGTGATTTCTGCACATCCTTAATCTTCCTGCACGCTCCCTGTTTGTTTTTTATTTTTGGATTGAAACAGTCAAAAGATAATCAATCAAGGGACATAATAGTAAGTGTGTTCAGAACTAAAAAATTTCGTGTGTGAATTTTTTTTTTTTTTTTTTTTTTTTTGGCTTTTAAGTTAATACGTTTTGATGTCTATTATTGTAATTTCAAAAGACATTTTGGTATTAGCTTTGTTTTTGAGTTAATACGTTTTGATGTCTATTCATAAATGTTGATATGTTGCTTATTGCACTACGGTATTGTGCAAGTGTCATCGGTGGGCTGCCCGAGTTTTTTACACCTGAAAGTAAACAAATTTTCAAATGCGTTGGAAAATAAACTTGTTCAACTTATATATGAGATGTTTCATTTTTAAAAACGAATACAATGTAATATTTGTTCAACTTATAAAAATACAGACAAACCATAATGAGTCGGTTGCTGATAAGAGCAACAAAAAGTTCCAAAAAGTAAAACAAAACAAATGTATAAGACAAATTCTTCGTTAAATTAAAGATCGCGTGCTAACAAACAATTTTATATTTTTCAGTCGTTTGTGGTTATTACATCAAAAGTAATAAGTAGTGGCTTGCAATGAAGCTTCATCTCCTTTAAATTAAGAGTGCATTTTTGTTCATTACCATTTAGTGTGGTATATGTTCATCATCCTATCTATCATCTTTAGATGAGTTTGAATTTTGAGATTTGTGCCTATCCATTACACGAATATCAAAATTTAAACTTCTCTAACGATAATAAATTGGATGGTGAGCATAAACCACACTAAATGGTGGTGAGCAAAAATGCTCCCTTAAATGAAAAGTTATGTGAAGAGATTAAATTTGTAAAGTAATTAATGTGTCATCAATAAAAAGTAAGCAAGTTAATCAATACTTATGTAATAATATAATCATTAACTTTTATGTAATTTACTTTACAAATTTAACTTTCCTAACATTACCCTTAAATTAATATCCACTTTTGAAATGAAGTTCCCAAGAAGGTCCTTATCTTTCAACTTCGACCACATTTATAAGAGATTTTTCAGTGTGACCGGTATATGAGGTGATACATCACATATCATTATATAAATGGTGAGATATGTGTGTTGAAAATTTAATAACTTAAAAAATAAAATTTTCTACCACTTATATAAAAATGTGTGATATACCAACTGTGTTCCGGTCATAATGAAAAGTAGCTAGTATATAGGAAACTGCTTCGTAGGTAGAAAGAAAAGCATTTCTTTTATGCATTTTTTGTGCTTCATATTCTTTTATGGTGTTTTATGGGTTTTTTTATGTCAATTTATAATGTAAATATTATTGTTGTATAGAAATAAAAATCCAAACATGTACACTTGATGGCATGCTAGTGGTTAATATGATTTCCTGCATATTTGTGGAGCTAATTAATAAGTTTTTATGTAAAAGGAATTGCATTTCATCCGTACGCTTTGAGTGATGTACTTGTCTTTATTTTTCTCAAAGAAAAAGAAAAAGAGAAAGAAAAGTGATGTGTACAAGATAATCATTTTATCATGTAACCGGAAAAAAAAAGGTGAATATTTGTAGCTAAACTGTTCCTAACTAATAACAATGTGATGTGATAATAATTTGGCTCATCTAGATCACGAGATTCATGAATGTATTGTAGACAAAAAAGTAACGCGTCAATAACAAAAAAACAAATTGTTTAACCAAATGGAGTTGCAATGAATGACAGAAAATTTTGTGTCAACTTCTTCTATTTTATCACATACACATTGGAAGGTAGTAAGTAGGAAGTTGCTTCGTTGGTAGGTTGAATTGGAAAATCAATGGCAATATTACAAACCGCAGAGTGAGGTATGCGCATAATGCGCACTACGTCAGAGACCAAAACGAGGGACTCAGAGCTGACCATAATACTAGGCAGAGTAGCAGAGCATTCATTTTACAGAAGAAATATAGATTAATTAATGTTAATTATTTCTATCTATTTTATTTATTTAATCGGAATAACATCATATGTCATTACATAATTGAAGAAACACTTAAAAAAATTGTTTGTAACTGTATAATAACAAATGATATTCTCCTCTGTATTCCGGACATCCTAATCTCTTCACAACTTAAAAGTGGTGAGCAAACACAAATCTAATTAAATTAAAAATCATACATGAACGCAACTTCTAGTATAGACTCAAAAAAATAAATTAACATCCAAAGGCACGTAAATTAACTATTAATTTTGAGCTCGAGTGGTTAGAAGACACAATGGATTGAGCGTATGATTACGAACTGAGTTCTTTGCTTTAGTTTAGAGAGACACTTGACATCATAAACTGTTTAATGGTTCTAAAGGAGAGAAAAATGCAAATGCATGCATACACTCACATATGACATAATACATATGGCGAGGCTATGAGTGCTAAACAATCCATCTTATGCGTAAAGAGCCATTAGTTAGGTCCTCGCCACTGCAAATTCAAAGAAATCAACACGAATCGAGTGATGATTGTCTCAGCAACCTTAGATTGCTGAACCTATGCGAGCCAGAAAAAGAAGTACATACGAAAACATGTAGTTTCTATAGGAGCAGCAGTAATAAGGATAATGCTAAAGAGATTAAATTTATAGACAAAATTTGTAAACCAAATGATGTGTAACAAATAAAAATGAGCATGTTTATCAACGTTTAAGTAATGATCTAATCATCAACTTTCATAACATTTAGTCTTTGAAATTTTGTTTGTAAATTTATCATTCCAAGCATTAGCTAATAAAAATTTGTCACTCACAGAAGTACCAAATTCTCCACAAAGTAATACACACAAGAGTTTGACATCTTCAAAGATTTCATATTTGGAATCTCCTGGAAGGAATCCATGCAAAACACATACAAAAAGAATAAAACAAAAGTTACCCGACCCAGAATTTCCACACCAACTACTAGGAAACTACCTTTCCCAAAACAAAACAAAACAAAACAACCTTTTAAATTATATAAGAAATTATGATGGCTGAAATGCCTTTATAAGTGTTTTTGTTCTCCAAAATGATGGACTGTTGTAGCGAAGCCACTAGCTGATCTTTATATAAAAAATAAATAAAATAAAATAAGTTCCCATACGCTTTGTATGGGATTATTCATGCTATCAAGCATAATAGAGATTTTGCATAATGACCTAAAAGTGAGAAAACCATTTGAATAAGGAAACTTTAACGAAAAACTTCCGGTACTGTTCACTTTAACAAAAAATCACATTTTTACACTAAAAAATCAATAATTGTACTATTCATTTTACCCTTTATTTTGTCAGTTTTGTTAAAACTCAAAATTTTCAAGTCATTTTCATTAGTTTTTTTTTTCAAATAAATCATGCGGCCAATCGTCATTATAGCTTAACTAAATACTCATTGTTCCATTTCAAAACCTTAAATGATTTATGTGAGTTTGAATTTTACATATAAGAATTAGGCACATTGAAAGCTCACTTGAGAAGTGTTTTTAAGTAATTGAAAACACTTTTAGGTAAAATATTTTTTAATTTCAAAAGCACTTTAAGTATTTTTTTTTTCCCATGATTAACTTGCATTTTAACCAAAATTGATTTCAAAAATATCTTCTTTTTTTTTAAAGCGTTTCCCGTGATTAAAAACACTTTCTAAACGAGCTCTAAGTTTAATATATTTTTTAATTGAGACGATAATTTACTGAAAATCAATCAAGATTACAATCCAAATCTTGGAGAAGGACGTCATCAATTGTAGGGGGATCCTCCATCCAAACTACATAAGAACAAATAGATAAAGCAAACTTCACCAACCGATGAACCACTACACTACACAAATATGAAATACGTGAGATCTTCACCTCGTGTAATTGAATTTGATGTATTGCTTATTCTATTGCAATATTTCTACTCGTGGTTTATTTACTATTATTAACACTTTAAAAATCTCATTATGCCTTCTCATCAGTATATTTTTTATTCTAATTATAGAAAGTTTAAAATCGAAAATAAAATTTTAAAATACCAATAACAATAATGCAATAAATGACCAACTTTTTTTACAGATAAATTAACTAGTTTTCAAAAAAGTCGTTAGAATAGCCAATATATTAGACACAAGGTTGTTCAAATTCATATAGCGAACTTATATCTACTCTATTATTTGTTAATCTATTCTCATTTATTTTACTGGAATTAAACTCATGAAATCAGTTGAACTCAATAATTAAAATTGGAGGACCGAGCAATAACGTGGCAGACTACATTAATCGATTCATAACGTAATGGAGCAAAGTTATGACTCCAATATCACAAGGACTATTTGTGAACTCAATAATTAAAATTACGTTTATAGAA